ACTGCTGGGCTCCAGAGTCAGGGACGTGTCTCCGGAGCCTCTCTGGGCAGGCGCCGGAGCCCTGTGGCCATCTGGGACATCCAATATCTAGGGAGGAAGCAAAGTTTTAGTGGAGCAAGAAAGGCCTGTCACCAGTGAAGAGGTTTAACAGCAGTTGCACCTACAGACAGCAGCTACTCAGGGTGCTCGATGCAGATGCTTCGGGGAGTGAGACAGCCTCCTGCAACCAACAGGGCACCGGCCCTTCCGTATCCTGTAACGCCCTTCAGTGCCTGGGCGCACTTCTCCCACAGGCGCACAGTACAAAGTAGCGTTTGGATACCAGTCTAAGACAGCGTCTTACAGCTGTCAGTGAGATATCATCTCTCCCAAGATTACTACTGACTGATTTCTCATAGCACCAGCAATTTCTCAGGAGGGAAGCCAGCAGCTGCTTAGGCAGTTACATGCCTACAATAAACTAAAACTAGACAGAGACCATCCCCATGGCCAAGAAACAGATATGGGCAGTGTCTTTAGAAGAAAGGACTTCCAAGACCACGCAGAAGTCTCAGGGTAATCTTGTGACCTTCACTTACCCGCAAAAGCTCTTCGTCCCCCTGTTCCTTCACAAACACTTCCTCCAGTTCCTGGTTTAGCCCCTCCAGGCTCCTGTGGAAGCAGGGGCTGAGCCTCAAAACGGGAGATGGAGAGAGGAAGCCTGAAGGAGAGTCCTGTAACAATCCAGAATTGAAGAAGTTAAGAGTTCTACCTGCACAAACTCAGCAGTTACATCCTGTTCCCACAGCTCTCCAGGGCTCAGCCAAAGCCTTCCAGGAGGCTGACGGGAGAAGACTGACAGCAGAGCCATGTAAACTCACTGACTGCTGATCAAAGCACAGGGACACATTGAAGAAGTGGGGGAAGACAAAAAAAAAAATAATCTCCCTTCTCAGACACGAGAGCAGAAGTCTGAGAAGAGCTTGGACCCCTGCCCAAAGGAGCTTGCTCTCCACCTCACTAGGACACATGGTGACAGCAGAGCAGGGGCAGATGTGAACGTACCCTCAGTGATCCAAGGACAGCATGGTCCCCCTGGAGTGGGGAGCTCTTCTCCTTTTCTTTGCCACTTCTGCCATTTAGCTTTGTTCGCTGGAGCTGTTGCTTCAGTTTGGCAATCTAGCAAACAAAGTTTCAGCTACAGAACCAGACAAGCCAACACACCTCCACCAAAAAGGATCGTGCCTCATCTCTCTCCTCCCCCTCTCCTGAACCCACAAGGAAGTGCCAAAATAGAGACGGTTTCAATCACACAAGCAGCAGCTCCAGCCACCTCTCAAAGGGTGGACCAGAAGTACTCGCAATGCCTCGTCACAAACTCCCCCGTTGCGACGTGGCCAGTGCCTTTCCTCTGGTGGATGTGGGTTACCTCCTACCTACAGAGCATTAGGAACTGGGCCCCGCTGGAACCCACATACACCACCGCACCAAGAAATGCACCACGTTTCAGTGGAGCTACTTTACAACAGCTGCCTGCTGGAGGAAGCCAACGAGATCCGTCTTTAGTTGAACCAGAGCGTTAGGGATGAGAGCAAGGGCTACAGTCTCATCTTCGATAGTATCCTGTCCTCCCACTCCCCTCCCATGCAAGCAGAAGCCTCCTATGCATTAGCAGCTGACACAGATCTTGCTCAAGCATTGGGAGTGGTCTATTTTACCTCTCTGCGGTGATCTGTGCTACCCCAAGAAGCAGAACGCTTGTGAGCACCGGAGCTGGCTTTCCCCACTTCCGCATCATGCCAGGACACTGGAGTCTGAAGTGATGAGAAACACGGCTGAGAATAATCACAACATTTACTGCTTTAGAGACTGGTGGTAGAGTCCCAACAATAAGCGATCAACTACTGCCCGTTCACAGTCCTATTCCTGTATCCCCCCATTAACACCACGCTCAGTGATGTGCATTAAGAGACAGCCACCTATTTATATTGGCCAAAACAAAGTCATTTTGGCCAGATTTGTGCCTATCGGGAAACTGGACCTCACAGACCTACACGGCGAGAGACCTGCCCAGAAGTCAGTGGCTTAATCACCACCAGTACCTGGCGAGATAAAGCACACCAAGCCATTACTCCGGAGAAACAACCGCAACCACCCCCTGCGCCGCCTGCACAGGCTCCTGTCTGATGAACGGTGACGTAGGGTTTCAGGCACTCATTGTACGAAGAAGCATTACCGAGAGGAAAAGCCTCACCCAACTGTGAGAACACACAACTTGCTCCTGAGACCTCAGGCTGCCGTATCGGAGTTCAACAGCGTTACCAAACCAGAGTTTGGCCAGCAGATTGACTGCTGCTGCTGCCGCCGGAGCGCTGGAAGAACCCAGCTGCCTCTCCAGCTCACGTCCCTCCATCTGCAGGGCCGGCAGTTCTCAGCTGACTCTCTTCATGTAGAAAAACAGCCTCAGCACCACATTACACAGCTGTTTTCCAAGCAACAGCCACATTTTGAATATCAATGGAAATCAGAAAGGGCTGTTAATCTGATCAGCAAAGGGTGTGAACTTCCTTCCACTGAACTCAGCCCTCTCGGTGGAGACTCCGGGATCGGAACGGTCCCAAAGGCACATCATTTTCAAGACCAGCCATCATTTTTTCCCAACATCGTTTTCAGTGCCTCTCAAAAGGCTCACCCCGTGTCACTGCTGCCTGCCATTTCTGTGGGAGGCTTTGGATGATACTTCCCTCCTCCATCCTCAGCGACAGCCTGCCAGAAGGTGCAAGGGCCTGAGAACAGTTCCTCTCCAAGCAGCTTAACTGATCTCCCCAGAGGCTACTGCAAGAACAGCAGCTGTTTTAAACAACCCTGTTGAGTCACAGGGATGACAGAAGCCTCTTCTCTCAAAACAGGTTTTAAAATCTATTTAAACCAAAGGAACAAGGCAAGTTACCTAGAGATGTACCAGGTTTCCCTCCTGTAAAGGGATACAGGTGATTTCTAGGCAGAAATCTAACCCTCTCCTGACTTAACAGGCTCTGAACAACCCCCCCCGCGCCTTACACACACCACTGTAAGCAGAGCACGCTGCGTTCCCTACAGCTCAAATCATTTGTTGTCTGGGTCTCCATTTTGCAATGCCTGTAAGCAGCAGACATCATAACGCAGAAGTTCTATTCGATTTACAGCGTTCAGTTTGGTTTGAGAAGAAATCCGTTCAGCCTGAACCATTGCTCTGAGGTCCTGCCCAGCCCAGAGCCGTTGGTCGCAGCCATCCCCATGCGACCCCCAAACCGTGCCAGACGGAGCCCGGGAACAGGCCAAGGTGATGGGAAATCCCACGGCAGAGACCAACCTTGCAGCTTCAGCACATGGCACTTCTGATCTCATTTCCTACCTCAAATATTCTCTCCTAAACAACTCAAAGATCATCGTTTGGCCGTTATCCCAAAATGTTGTGTCATTTTATATCCCAGTAGATCACGCACGTAAGAACGCTAAGGAGAAGAGGCAAAGGTCTAAGAGAGAAGACCACAGCCCTGTCCCACATTACTCCAAGAGGCAGGTCTGTGGGAAGCTGAACTCCAGCTGCTAAGAACAGTCCCGCAAAGTGGGACATGATGGAAAGTCTCTTTGAGTCACTGGAAGCCTCCTGAGTCCCGTTTGAGGAGTCCCTTACTGCAGCCCGTTGCCGTCATACCCAGAGCACTGAGAACTGCACCAGTGCTCACAAAAAAACCACCCCAGGGCCTAAAAAGGAAGAAAAGATGCTGTTTGCAATAGGAAGGCCTGAAAGTGAAAAGTAGATACGCGTCCCACCTCTCGCAGGCAGACTGTCAAGGCAGAAGGAAATTACAGAACCTTTTGTACTAACTGTGGCAAAACCGCTTCCTCAGAAAAAGGAGAGGAAAAAAAATGCTTTGCACAGCAAGATAAAGCCACAACTCCAATCATGTACAGTGCTGCCATCCTCACCCCCACACTGAGCACCTGCAGTTGTATCTCTCACTTAACCACCTTACGATAGCAAATCTACAGAGCTCTGCAAAACAGCTGATCAGTAGCTGAATAAGGAGGGAAGTAAACACGTACCGGCGAGCAGAGAAAGTCCCAAGTTTGATAACTATTAAGCCTGAAAACACGGAAGGAGTGGCAAAGCCATGGAGGTTACGATGAGGAACACTTTGTTAATCCACAGGGCAGTCTAGACCCGAGGACTCTATTCCCGGCTTCCAGCAGATAGGTCATCTGACACGAAGAGAGGTTGGTGTGTGGAGATCACCGCTCGTTTCACAAGCATGTTGCAAGGCAAAATTAGCATTTGGAAGACACTCGCAGATACCTGATGAAAGACTGCGGCACACCTGGCCTATTCACTGCGGAGAGGAACGATCAGCTCCGCACTCAGCGCAGTCTGAATTAACGCGGTGATATCTTCCATTCCGGGAAGAAGGCGGTGCCCTTCTTCTCCAACCCTTTCCCCAAAAGGGCCACACGCAAGAAAAACTAATTAGCCCCAAAACACTGGGGTTAAGCGTTCCATTGCTGATGAAGACAGAAAGGAAGAGTGTGCTTCCCTGACCCAAAAATAAAGTCAGAAAAATTCTTTCCCTTCCTTTCCAGCATGCCCTCTGCCCTCAGCAGCGCTCTTGGGCACTAGAACTGAAACAAAAGCAAGCTAGAATACTTTGGAAAAGGACAATGGAAGTTGGAATCCAATTGAGAATTTCCTGCAAACAGCCCAGTAATAAATTGTTGAATAGCAAAGATCAAACAGCGAGTTAACAGAGAATGAATGTGCTAAATAAACGGCTTGTTAAGCAAACGGATGCTCTTATCCTTCTAAATTCTTTCACCTCTGCAGATAGGCAAGCACTGTTTGCTGCCATACAGTAATATTTACAGGTTGCTAAGAGTTCCTCGAGGTCTGGAGCTTTTCCATTCTACAGCAAAGAGCTGCGCCGTCCCCACTAGCGAGCCCTGCTGCGGGAGCACCCTTGACTTTTTGCAGCGTGTGGCACGCAGCCCGCCGGCCTTATATAAGGACTTGGCCCAGAACTGCAAGCCAGGAAAAAAGTAGCATTGAGCCAGTACTGGAGCAGAAAGCCAGAGGCCATCTGCCTCCAAACAAGGCCAAGGAAATTCTAACTCTGCACCAAAGTGGAATCAATTGAAGCTGAGAAGCAAAAGGGGGGGGGAAAAAAAAAAAAAAAAAGCCTTCCTAGAAAGCTGCAGCTGCACAAATGGAAATGGAACGCCTTCCCTATTCACCCCCAGTTTACACAGCTCGTTTCAGTTCTGCAACCCTCTCCTGGCCCAGAGGCTTCGAGGGCAGTCTGCAGGTGTTTATACCTGGGTCGCTTTGTCATTCATGCACAAAGTGGGAGCTCCTTCAGCGTCCCTCGGCCACTGTCCCAACAGGTAGGAGCCCACGATGGTGTCTAGCGAGGAGGTGCGCCTCACACGGGGCTGCCGGGGACGGCAGGTCTTCTCAACAGCAGCAGCACAGGGAACGCTGGCTAGACGAGGGGGAAAAGAAAATAAAATTAGACTTCCAAAGCCAAGATTCAGCTACACCTATCACAACTGACAAGCCCACGTCCATCGCAAAGATCACAAGAAGGAAACTAGCACACAAGGCCTGGAGAAGTCCATTTACTTTTCGGACACCAGAGTCCTGTCGCTTCTAGCGTGCCCAGTGAGTTCCCGCTCTCACAAGAGCGGCGGCTCTTCCCGGCCAAGGACATGTGGCTGCTCAGCCTCAGCACGGGCAGATTCGCTGCTCCAAGCCAGCTACCGAAAACGAGCGGCAACAGAAAGACCAGCAGAGTGGGCCAGCAAAGGCTGGCGGGTTGACTGCCCCGTCTGCCCTCCTACTCACTCCGCTCCGCTGCAGAGCCCCGTATTCACGCTTATCACCACGAGACTGCTTCTCTAGAAGCAGCAATTTTATTGCAATCCTCAAGCGGATGCTTGAAATTATTGATCAGACATTCCAGTTGAAGTCAACGGAGCTGCTACACGACCAAGTGAAGCATCTGGCATGTCCGTAGTGCTTCTGCACGGACACCGTAGAAAAAAAACCCCACCACTACACTGCCTATGGGGCCGTATTTCTTACTAGCTGGAGCACAATGCTTAGTTGGACAACCCAGGCTCTTACCCACAGTACAACCCAACAGGAAAAGGGAGCCTGCATGCCTCAGTTTCCCCCGAGGAAGCATGCTATTGCTCGCTTCCAGTTTCCAGGAGGCCAAGAGAACATCTGCAAGGTTTTGGATCCTCCAGCGGGACTATGCGAGCACTCAGTGCGTTAGCAGGTGTGTGCATTCATTCAGCAAAGACCAGAAAGTAAGATGCACAACCTGTTCACTGTCACAACCCATCGCTGGCAGGGCCCAAACTCAAATCCAGGAGCTCTGGGTCTGCCCAGCTTCCACGAGAGGGCCACATCGCCTGTTCAGACACTACTTTCATAAAGGTAGCTGAAATATGACTAACAAAAAAGCTTTGTAAATATGACAAGTTTGTGTGTCGGCAATGATGCACACCAGTGCAATCCCATCGCAAGCCAACAGCGGAGAGGACGGAGAGCCAAGCGTCGCTCTTGGCAGGCTCCGGCAAGGGGAGACACACAGCACACATGCTTTGCTCGCCCTCCCCGTCTCCTCCATCGCATCCTGGCCAGTTCCAAACTCCACGCGATCAACGCGCAGCCCACAGGCAGACAGCACAGCTGCCCTCTTTTGCAGCCCTGTCGTCACCCTTGCAGCTGAAAAAAAGGTGTTATCGCCAAAACCAAAAAGGTAGCAAGGAAGAGGCAAGTTCAAGCCAGCAGGAAAGTTTGTTTGCATTTCGTTTTGATTAGACATGCAAATCACCACGCACATTAGAACCAGCCCTGTGGCCTCCTGGCAAGATATTAAGGCCACGAACAGCTCTCTGCTCCAGGTGCTTTGTGTACAGACGTTCTCTCCTTCCTCCCCAAAATGAGGGCATGGTAGGCAGGTAGTGAATTAACCACACGAAAACCAGCATCAAAACTGTTAAGCGCTATGTTGTGTTTGCCAAATACCTCTGTATACAAAGGTGCTGCGGCACCCAGGGCAGGCTCAGCGCTGGGACTCTTCCAGGGACATGGCCTGTTAAACACATCTTTTTATCAGCTAAAATACCATTTGAGCAGTGGAATTCGAGTTCTAGGTGAGAAAAGGGTAGGAACAAAAAGCCACGTGGGAGGGCGAGAGAAGCATTAGTCCTTGCATGACAGCCACACCTCCTAAGGTCCACACTGGATTAAAGGCTCATTGTGTCGGGTCCAGCTGGCATTTCAAGGCACGCTCCCTGCTCCCAACAGTTAACAGTAAGTCAGCTACCACTAACTCTAATTTAGAAACTCGTTAGTATTTGCAGCTTCCTCTTCAGCGCCTCATTGCCCCCACAGGCGATGTTACTTGCAGCTCCATTACGTATGACTTCAGCTGTCTCTTCCTCTCACGCTGCTCTCCCCAACCAGGCCGCTGGCAGAAGAACCGAACGCTGCTGCAGTGGGGCAGCCCCTCTCCTGCACTGCTTTGCCAGCACACTTCCCCCCCCCGAGCTCTCCAAGAGGCCCCCTTTGACATAACCATCCCATCCAGAGTGACCAGGGTCACCTTCATCCTCCAAACCTTCAACAGGATGACAGTCAAAACCAGCCTGAAAGGACCTCGAGATCAAAAATGACCGAGAGCAGAGGAGACGTGGCCTCCTACGGTGACAACTGCACCAATTGTGCACGGTGGCAAACATCTAAAGCTATTCATGTACGGACAGCAAGAACTGTCGTTCCTTTCCACGAAGTACAACTCTGCTACCCAACAACTCAGTTTGTTTCTAAGCGGCGCAGAGAAGCCCGAGGGGCACGGGGCAGGCTGCTGCTGGGAGCAGGTCGCCCCTCCTTACGGTGCAAAGGCTGCGTGCACAGCGCAGCGTTTCGGGTACGAGGAGGAGGGCGCGTGAGAGGCGCCGAGGCAGGGTGGAGCGTCCTGTTTACAGCTCCGTGCTATTATCATCCCTCCGCACGGAGCCTGCACAGCTGCCACCTGGCCACCAGCTCTGGAGCGGGTCCAAGCCAGCTCCACAGCTGAGAAGTGACAGGTTGCGGCGCTTTTACTTTTCACGTGACAGTAAAGCTGCTGCAGATAACTGAACCGTCGCCGTATCTCCAGGAGCCATTTGGCTGCCTCCAATTGCTGCCTGGGGCTTTCGCCCAGCCACAAGTTAGAGAGTGGAGCAACGCCGGCATTTAAAAGGAGAAAGTTTTCAGTGCTGGAGTTCTCTATTTGCAGCGTCCCTAGTCTTTCCCAACCACATCAACATCAGTGAGCTCAGAGCTTCCTCAAGACTCTCTCTAGGCCAGCCAATCTCTGCATCTACAAAGGAGTAAATAAAAGTCTTAGTAAACTTTTAAAAATCTCTGGGGTCACTTTTCAGCAAAGAATACTTACAGCTGAATCAAAAAATGACGGCAAGCAAAAATAAAGTTCCCATTACTACTTGCTTCAGAGTTGTAAAATTTTCTTCCTTCCCCCTCCAGATTTCACCCTGGGGAAACCGACCCTTTAATATCAGAAGAATGTTTAGAAATTTAGGGACATGCTGTTCAGACCCTGACGTTTTTGGAATATGTCCCTGCAAAGGTCTATCTTGAAGCGATGAAGCATAAAATAACAGTCCATGTTTAAATACAATCAGCTTCCAAGTTAACCCCGGAATGCCGGGCTGTCCGAGGCCTCCCCACGCAGGGATGCTTCCCCTGCACTCTGCAATATCGAGGCGTACCTAACGGTTTCAGGCGCAGTTTTCAGTTTATTGGCTCAGGCAAGGGTTGTAAGCTTTCACGAGAGAATTTGTCAGGGAGACCTTAGCTGAGGTGAAACCTAAGCAACTCTGTCAATAACTAACTTATGCAAATATCTTCCATCCCAGCGTAACAGAAAATACTGCTAATTATTTAAGTTCTGTATCAGCTTCCCCCATCTACACCTCTTAATGCTCTTTACAACACATCATCTTACTTCAGATGATGCACCTGATTCGCGGGATGGGGGCAGTAAGATAACATAAATGCCCGAGTTGAGTTTCTCATGGGTCTGTCAAACCACAGCAGGACCCTGTGACACAGAAACATCTTTTAGACAAAATATTCACACCAAACCGGGCTGCTGGATGCGTATCGGTGCCCCCTACAGCACCCCAGCACCACTTCCTTGATCTTTAACATCTTCCTAGACAATCGAGCTGGGAGATCTCTGTATGAAACATGTTTTTTTGGTACATCAGCTACTCGGACAGAGCTCAGATGACACAAGCAGCAGGGACACAACACTGGCATTGCTGTGGTGGTCACCAGGGCAGGGGCTCCTACAGCAGAAAGGAAACAAGCTATCCTACCACGGCAGAGCACTAAAAGAGCACCCGATGGCCACCTGAAGGACTGTGCTGCTTAACAAGTTGCAGCTCTAACCAACAGTTTTGGTGTAGAGGAGGTCTTGGCCACATCGCCACCACGAGCTCGCTGGCTCCCATCCGACAGAGCAGGAGGCGAAGCTGGAACACAGCAAGAAATCCAGTGTCTTCCCTTCTCTTCTTGTTTTAAACTGGACAAGAGACACGGGCAGGACTTCCAGAGGGAGTTAAGAAAACAGCGATCCACAAACCACGTCAGGGAATGGCACTTCGTCTAACCTCACTCTGCAAGACCGCACTTGATCAGAAAATGTATCTCCTCTGAGGACCGAAAACATTTAAATGGGGCATTTCCAGTGCAGTGACACGCAGCGGAAGCGTTAGTGAAATAAAGATCAAAACTGAAGCTTCGACGTTATAACCCATTTAAATCTCATTTCAATTTCTCTGCAGTTTCATCCTGGTGAATCAAGTTACCCGCCAGGTTGTTGCCAAATAGGACAAAAAGTTCTCAGCAGCAAGTAAGCTTCAGAAATATATCCTCAGTTTTTATTCTTTTTTTTTTTTTTTCCAGGTGGAGCAGGTAAAGGAAATTGTGTGTCCTGACCACTGCACTGAGGAAATGCAACAGCATCAGTTATTTTTGAACAGTCACAATCTTTAACACAGCAAAGATTAAAAAAATCTTTACAGGGAAATAATTGCCTTTTCGCAGCGTTGTGCCTTTACTGCGCTCTCTCCGCATTCAGAAGAAACGTGAGGATTTAAGAAGCCACGCTTGCAACCACCGCAGTCAGCCCAGGCACTTCCTCGTAGCACCCCAAAGCGCTGCTGTTCCGTGCTGCTGCTGCAAAAGCACTGCTGGAGAGGACCTTCATCTATCGCACAATCTCAAAGCAAGGCAGGGATATGCAAGGAATAAATGCTTTTGCTCTGGGAATCCCAGAAAGCCTAAAAGGAGATGAACAGGCAGTTTTACTAGTTCTTAATGAAATTTAAAATCCCGTGCTTAGTACACTACAGAAATCTGCAAACGTGCTAGAAAATAGAAGCATTTCCTAGGAATTCACGGCATGGTCAGAGCCAACTACCGAGACAGGAATGAAGGCAAGATCAAGAGCTGGAGAGGTGCTGGGAGGAAAGTTCACAGAAGCTAGAGAGAAAAAGAATATCGTCTCCACAAAGAGAACTACAGACAGGTCATTTTAACTGGAGGCAACAAGGGGGAGATCTCAAGCTTTAACCAGAAATGGAGCAGGAGATCCAGAGAAGCCGCCAGAACACGTTTACTCAGGGG